TCTTTCTAAGTAATTTTTAATTTTACTTTTTATTTCTTCAAGTTTTTTAGTAATGTATTATTTAGTTTCCATGTATTTATTTTCCTTGTTATTCACGTTAGTGATTTCTAGTTTCATAGCACTATGGTCAGAGAAGTTGCTTTGTATAATTTCAGTCTTTCAAATGTGTTTAGGCTTGCTTTGTGGGCTAAAATATGATCTATTCTGGAGAGTGTTCCATGTGTGTTGGATAATAATGTATATTTTTCTGTTATCAGGTGGTGTGTTCTGTGTGTGTCTCTGAGGTCCCTTGTTCTATTGTTGAAAGTAGTGTGTTGAAATCTCCTACTATTATTGTAGATCTGTCTCTCATTTCGAGTGTGTTAGCGTTTGTTTTATAACATTTGGAGCTCTTGCATTTGGTGCATAAATATTTATAATTGTTATGTCTTCTTGCTGAATTGACCCTTTCATTATTATATAATGTCCTTCTTAGTCTCTTAGAATGGATTTTGATTTAAAGTCTCCTTTGTCAGCTATTTCTGTTGCCACTCCTGCTCTCTCTTAGGTACTGTTTGCTTGGCATATTTTTTTCCCTCTTTTGATTTTTAACCTGTGTCTTTGTGTCTAGGGTATGTCTCTTGTAGACAACATATTGATGGATCATGTTGTTTATCCATCCTGCCACTCTCTGCCTCTTGACTGCCTGGTGCATGTCATGCATTTACAGTCAGTGTCATTGTCAGTAGTTACGCCGTATTGCACTTTTTTGTGGTGCTCTCGTTTCTGTTGTAGTGCTCTTTACTTTCTGGGATGAGTTCTTCTTCTAGGTGCATCTTCTTTTCCTTTCATTTGTTTTGTTGTTTTTGTGTTGAGTCTTTTAGTAGCATTATGCTCTTTAAAAATCTATCTGTATGGAATCAAATTGACAACAACTTGAAAGATTAGAGAGGAACTGTAAGGGGCAGTGAGTTTCTGTTAAAGGGGGTGGAACAACTTAGACAAGGAGAAGGCAAATGACTGCATGACTTGAAGGTAATTGGTGTCGCTGAATTGTACTTGTAGACACTGTTGACTTGGTGTATGTTTTGTTATGTATAGTCTCAACAGCAACAAAAATTGTACATTTCTATTTTTAAAATGAGGAATTAGTGCTTGTTCTTAACCTTTAGAACGTCTATAATTTTGGTGTAATTTGAGGTAACTTTTCTTAGAGCTTTGAGAAATTGATAACCTTTCTCTTGAGAACCAAGAAAATAAAGATGTATGGGTACTCTTCTGCTTTCTTTGATGTATTTTGAGTTACGAAGCACTTCACTTACAACCGTCGAGGTTTTTTTTTTATATCTTTTTGTTAGTATTATGTATCGATTCCGACTCATAGCAACCCCTCTTATGGTTTCTGAGGCAGTATCTCTACAGAAGTAGATTGCCCAGTCTTCCTTCCAAAGAGTGGCTGGTGGATTTGAACGGCCAGCCTTCTGGTAGCAGTCAAATGTGTTAGGCACTCACTATGCCACCAGAGCACCTATGTACTACATACAGTATTGCAGTGTGTGTCTGTAAGTTTATATGTAATATTTCCAATCCCCAAAGACAGATAAATATCAGATTTATAAAGATAATGATAATAAAAGGGAATAATAATGAAATCTGGCAGGGGGGGGAGCGGAACAGGTATTTAACTTACATCAAAACCAGCATACCATGGAGTAGTCATTGGACCCCATTGTAAATTGCGGAATGCCTGTATATATGTTTTTATCTATTGAGTTATTGGGTTACTGCCTTTTCAGATCATTGAGTATGAACTGGCAAGGATGGAATATATAGTTTCTCCTTTTTGGCCAGAATGCCTTTGTAGATGCGGTAGAAGTGAGATATATTTAATTCGTCTTGTAGTTTACAAATGATTTTATTTAGGAAAATTTGGTACGATTCTTTGATGTTAGTAAAGAAGTTCCTCATTATCAAATGCATCTTCTCTGTAACACTGAAGATGAAGGATGAGCTTTCATTGCAATGAATCAGGAACCTAGGGACTAATATTACATGTCCTTCTGTGTAAGGAACCAGCTAGGGTGCTGGAGGTGACATTAAAGTGAAGAACATGACTACTGTGTATGTACCAAAGAAATACTAAGCATTGTTCTATAAGGAGCAAGGTGTGAGTGAAATAGAGGAAGAATGGGCAGAATTGCAGAGAGGGACTGAAGATCCCTAAAGAGTTCTCTATTGCAACGTTACTCACATTAATGGCCAGTCCTCTGAACACTGGGATCAATCCAGTTTGTCACTGTTACCCTTAGTAGAACACCGTAAGTGGGTATGTTAGAATATAAATTCTGTTTTCCAGGATTCATTAATTAGTATATATCTTACATTTCAATGTAATAATAATTCCAGTTGCTTCTCATAGCATGCTAGATCATTTTCAACGGGAAATGGACAGTGTTTGTTACTGAAGTTGTAGGGGAAAAGGTGATAGGAAATATATCTTTGGTACTCTGTTGTCTCCTTGCCTTTCCACATACCATTTCTAAGTCTTCTGAGTCATGCCTGGGGTATCTCATCTGCCTATTAACTAAGTAAATACCATTCATTTTGTAATTCTTCCATTCCCTCCTAACCTGTTCTGAGCTGTAGTCCCACAATCTGTTACACTGGAACAGTGATTCCCAGTTGAGGCAGAGAGGGAAGGCATCCATCAGAATAACCCAGAGAGCTTTATTGAAATGCACTAACCTCCTGCTGCCCAAGATTTTTATATACTGCAATCTGGAGGTGGGAGGGGTTAAGCAGAAATTGTTTTATAAGCTCCTCAAAAAGGACATACAGGCAGCATTTTCTGACCTCCTCTAACTTCACAAGAGGAAGACAGGATCACCAGTCAACGGCCCAAGGCTTATTCCTATGAGGCCAGACATGCTGCCACCCTCCAGCCTTTTTATCAACTCTGACACCAGTTGTCTCTCCTTGTAGACACAGCACTCACTACTTCTCTACCAGGTTTGATAGTTCATTGCAGTGACCATGTAGAACTCACAGACAATACTCATGATTATGAGGTTTATTAGGGAACTAACAGGCTACGAGTCAGGTTCAGGAACACTGTCAAGATACAGTTCTCTGATCAGGACAGTCTCCCTCTGCCATGCCTTCAGCCATGCCTCTCTGGCCCCTGGCCTCTGCCCCTCAGGCAAGTGTTGCAAAGCTTTTTTAGCTCTGTTGATAGGTATACATGCCCGATTCCCCCAGCAAGTCTTCTGCCAAGTGGCACTCAGCCTTCTCAGCCTGTGGGCCAGGCACACTGCTGGGCTCTCATGTGCCTCTTGGTTCCACTACCACCGTCTCTAGTTATACAAGGTGGAGACAGAATCACCATCAGCAGCCAAGGCCTGTTCTTATGAGGTCAGACATGCTGCCACCCTCCAGCCTCTTACTAACCTTGACACCAACCATTCCTCCCACAGCACCCACCACCTCTCTGCTGGGTTCATTAATTCTCTGCAGTGGCCACACGGAACTCTCAGATTATGGGATTTATTAGGGAAACAACATTCAAGTTCAGGAATGAGCTCAGGCTCTCGCAGCTGGCTATCTCACTCAGCAGCTGGCTGGCTCACTCAGTCGCACGGCTCTCTGTCACATCTCTCTCTCAGCAGTGTGTCTCTCCTATCTCTCTCTGTCTCAGCAAGTGTGTCTCTCTCAGCAATGCAGCTCTCATCCAGCAGTGAGAGAGACTCTCTCTTCCTGCCTCTAGGAGGGCTCCTTTTTGAGCCTGGCAGGGTGGCCAAAACCAGCCAATCCCAACATCAGAATGCTATACACCTGAGAGAGCGTGAACTTCCCAGAAGCTTGCTTCCTGCCGCTGCAACAGAAATACAACAGGTGGAAAACTTTAACAATCAGCTACTCACAGCAAAGGTGGAGTTACAAAGACTAAGGCTAGAAAAGCCATACCATGTAATTTACTGCACCGCGGTGCCAAAGAAGTCTAGTACAGGGATCTTGGGCCCAAGGACGCACTCCACTCCAACGCCAGCTCTTCTCTCTTGATGGCAGTGAGATCCCCCTTCCTGCCTCTAGGAAGGCTCATTTTAAGCCTGACATAGTGACAAAAATAACCAATCCCAACATCAGAGTTCTACACACCTTTTTTGCATGATCCCACCCAGTGCTCTGGTGGGAGTCACAAAGACTATGGCTAGAAAAGCCATAGCAAGTAATTCGCCACACCACAGCTCCCATCTGATTTTCTGATGTCTCTGCTGGTTGGAAACCTACTACAGAAGAGTGGAAATTAGCAGTTACTCTGTACCCTGGGTATTTATATGGTCGCTGACTCTTAAAGCAGGTGTCAAGAAAACTACATTCCAGAAAGAAAGGTCTGGTCTCACACGTTATACCAAAACCAAACTCACTGCCGTTGAGTTGAATCCGACTTATAGCGACCCCTCCTCCTTGGGTTTCCAAGGTGGTGTCTCTACAGAAGTAGATTGCCCAATCTTCCTTCTGAGGAGTGGCTGGTGGGTTTGAACCGCCAGCCTTCTGGTTAGCAATCGGATGCCTTAGGCACTACACCACCAAGGAAATACTTCTTTTGTTACCAAAGATTCAAGTTGCCTTTAATTATTCCCTGCAGAGAAAGATTTAACTAAATGTATAAACATTAACTCATTCGGCAAAGTGGGGGTGGGGATCCTTAAGGAAGATGCTGCTTCTAGAATTTCCATTACAGGTGACTGTCCATTGTGGATTTATCCATTTCTCAAAATAGTTTTGTAAAATGACATCATAACTTAAGAAACTTCAAGCACAGAAAATAAAGTAACCAAACCCCAGCCCTAACTTGACCTTGCTTTAGTCCTTCATAGGCTTTCTGGTGTAAGTTAACTTCTATCTCGTATTAAGATTCACCTGTAGGAGGGGAAGTCAGATTTGTTTCTTCTGACACTTCCTTGAAATTTCTCTTTGGCACTGACTAAACCTTAAATATAAATGGTTCCCGTTTGTTTCAGGGAAAAGACTTTTACTCTGACACCAGAACTTACTCCAAGGAAGCTTCGGGTCTTACCTTTTGAAAAAGCTTCAGTCTGCCATTATCATGGAATCGAGTAAGTTTGTATTTACTCTTAACTCTTGAGTATGTTTTTCACATAGCTTCTCTCATGTAAGTTTGAAGGGTGACTGTAAAAGTCATATAAACTAAGACATGCAAAGCGAAAGTATGTCAGGGACCTCAGAAAATAGCAATAGTGTCTTCTTGAGAAGTCATTTGAAGGCTGATCAGTTTTTATAACATTTAAATATCTTGTTACTGGTTACTAGATATTTTAGTCAAAATTATTTTTATTCTCATGTTATAAATGCACTATGGATCCCCTAATGTTCTCTGGTCACAAAAATTACATTGTAATTGCTCAGTAACTAATTTAGTTAAATTTGTTCCTATTTGTAGCATGTTAATTGTGTGTACATAGTTATAGAATTTTAATTGACCAGTTAGAAAAAAAATTCAAAAGATTCTTTCTTTGCTTAAAAATATTGTTGTTGTTGTTGTTATGTGCCGTCAGGTCAGACCCGACTCATAGGGACCCCTCCTTGGGTTTCTGAGGCAGTATCACTACGGAAGTAGATTGCCCCATTTTCCTTCTGAGGAGTAGCTGGTGGGTTTGAACTGCCAGCCTTCTGGTTAGCAGTCAAGTGCCTTAGGCACTATGCTAGCAGTTGCTAAGGTCATGGGTACATTTACCATTTTCATAAAGAAGGAATTGAATGACATTGCTATAATTCATGATAAATTTTTAAGACCTTGGTGATTCATTTTGCAAGATACTTAACATCAAAAAGTAAAGCATTATTTTTATGTTAATTTTGCATAATTGAAAATAGGAGGGAATTAATTTTACCTTAATCTTTAAGAAGCAACTTCAAGTGAAAAATTCTATTTTGACTGGCTTCTAATCTTTAATGTGCACATACTTGAAAAATATTGTCCTGATAGACATTTATTCAGGAGCTAAAGATACAAAGGATTGTAAGGCAACTATTTCTGCCTTTAAGGAACATAAGCTCCTAATGGGGAGAAAGAAACACATGGTCTTAGTGCAGTACAAACGGTGTTTTAATGCAGGTATGTAACTGCTTAGGAAAGCCAGTGCATGCAGCAAATAAATGCCAGGAACTCTTTGACAGAACTTCAGTGCAAACATAAGAACAAGGTTTGAAAGGATGAATTGGAATTTACCTGGTAGCAAAGGGAGCGATCTGGGAGAGGAAGGGGACTGAGAGGTACAGAGTCTAGGAAGAGGAATGACATTGCTGGTTTCGAAGAAGAGTATAAGAAATACGCTGTCCTCTTGGCATCAGGAAGATTCTGACTCCTAATGACCTGCAGGACAGAATAGAACTGCCCCCGTTTCCAGGACTAAGCTTTACAGAAGCAGACTGCCACATCTTTCTCCCATAGAGAGGCTGATTGCATTCATACCACCAACCTTTCAATTAGCAGCAGAGCACTTACCCACTGCACCGCCTTCATATTGTACCATATCAAGGCCAAATAAGAAAGTCATGAAAATCATTGCTGGCAGGTCAGGGATATTAGTCTTTATTTTTGAGGTTTTAAAAACATATTTTTGGTTCTCTTTTTAAGCTGGGCTTGTGTTCTTGAAAGAAGTCTCATTTCTGGATAAATTAAAATGAAGTATTTCAAGCAAGAGAAGTTGAGGGGCTAAGATACTATCAGGACAGTGAAAATCGGAAGTTGAGGACAAAGAGCTATCTAGCAGCAAGTAGAAACTTGAAACCAATAAATCTTGGGATTGAGCAGGAAGGAGATGACAAGAATTTCTGGCTTAGGTGTATTGGCTGGATGGTGGTGCAGTTGAGAAAATGCAGAAGGACACACACATCATTCTAGCAATGTTTAGATTTCTTGCCATGTTTATATAGAATTTGGCTCATTTGAAAATATTTTATGCAAAGTGTGATACTAGAGGCACATATTCAGCTACTTTGTGTTCTGCAATTAGAATTAAACTCCCCATTAAGGCAGGAGCAAGACAAAGATACCCACTGCTATCACTTAAAAAAAACTACTGTCCTATATATTTTAGCCAATGAATTTAAATAAGGAAAACTACAGAGATATTTTGCAAGGGTATCTATTATAGTTTCATTTAAAATAAGAAACATTGGAAATAATCTGTATGTCTATTAGAGGGTTGGTTAAATAAACTTTAGTACATTCATAAAATAAAATTCTGTGAAGCTGCCAGAACGACTAACATTTAGAAAGATGGATAACACTAAATATCGAAAATATGGAGAACGGTCACAGCTTTCATACATTGTTGCTGAGAGTGTGAAATGATGTATTCACTTTACAAAAGGATGTGGCAGGTTCTTATAAAACTAAATGTACTCCTCTCATTCTCTGTACCCAGCAATTCCAAGACTAGGTTTTTTTGGCAAGAGAAATGAGAATATATGTCCACAAATAGACTTGTACAAGATGTTCATAGTGGTGTTATTCATAATAACCCCAAACGGAAAATAGCCTAAACTTACATCAATGGGCAAAAGGCTAACTGAACTGTAGCATAGCTAAAGGAGCTCTGGTGGCATAGTGCCTAAGGCATTTGACTGCTAACCAGAAGGTTGGCCGTTCAAACCCACCAGCCACTTCATGGAAGGAAGACTGGACAATCTACTTCCATGAAGATTTACTGCTTCGGAATCCCGAAGGTGTCACTGTGAGTTGGAATCAACTCAATGACAGTGAGTTTGCTTTTTTTTTTTTGGTTTTGGTATAGCTAAATATTGGGAGCTCTGCTGACGTAGTGTCTCACACATTTGACTGCTAACCAGAAGGCGGGCAGTTCAAACCCACCCGCCGCTCCTCGGAAGGAAGTTGGGCAGTCTACTTCAGTAGAGATACCGCCTCAGAAACCCAAGGAGGGGCTGCTGTGAGTTGGAATCAACTTGATGGCAGTGAGTGTGGTTTTGTATAGCTGAATAAAGCAAGACTCAGCAGTACAAAAAGGAGGCAGCTGTGGGCCCATGCGGCAGCATGGGTGAATGTCAAAAAATTACAGTGAGTGAAAGAAGCCAGATATTAAAGAACTCATACCATATGATTCAATTTTTATGATTTTCTAAAATTCGAGTGCTTAACCACTGTGTCACTAGGGCTCCTTGAAAAAGTGTACAGATGTCTGAAGTTTACAGTGAAATAGGTCAGAGACATCAGACGACGACAGTCAGATGACCTGTTGTCTGAGTGTTTGTCAGGTGCCTGTGAGTCAATTTTGTGACAGAGGAGAACTGTCCCCATAGGGTTTTCTAGGCGGTAATCTTCCCAGGAGCAGATTGACAGGTCTTTGCTCCCACGGAGCTGCTGGGTGGTTTCAAACAACCAACCTTTCAGTTAGCAGCCAACTGCTTAACTGTTGTATGGCCGGGGCTCCTCATTTGACGGAGAAAGGGATCAACAGGTAGATAGATAAAGCGTGTACAGAAAATGTTAATGGCAACGTCCAGGTGGTGAGTAACACAGATGCTCCCTGCAAAATTCTTTCAATACTTGTATATATTTGAAATTTTTCATAATAAATATTGGAAAGAAAATTCTTTGAAGCCATTGAAAATCAAGTTTTGAGATGAAAAATACTGAATTGTGTTTGAAAAGTTGACTTATAAAAGTATATGTGCAGTAGAGTAAAATTTAGAAGTCTATTCATTAATCACTAAGTTAGTAACATATTTCTCTGAGATAGGGTTAAGGTTATTTTTACTTTCCTCATACATTTTTATAATTTCTTGGTTTTCTACAGGGAACATCTATTCCTTTTTTCATCAGAGGAATTTAGAGAGGCAAATTAAACATTTTGCCCATTGAGTTGGGTTCTTTTAACATGCTTCTCACATTCTTCTCTCACAAAGGAATCATTTTACATAGCATCATTTAGTTCATAGGTAGTTTGCCGTTAAAGAAAAATTTAAAGCTTCCTATGAAAAATCATTGCTGACATCTTAAGACAGTTTGAACCAGGAGCTCTGGTAGCGTAGTGCCTAAGGCACTTGACTGCTAACCAGAAGGCTGGCAGTTCAAACCCATCAGCCACTCCTCAGAAGGAAAGTTGGGCAATCTACTTCCATAGCGATAGGGCCTCGGAAACCCAAGGAGGGATTGCTGTGAGTTGGGTCCAACTCGGTGGCACATTAAAACAACAACAACATTTAAAACTAAAAATAAACTACACTAAAAATAAACTTCCATATACTGTAACTACTTAGGTGTGGATGCTACTACAGTGTAGGTATCTCTTTGGTCATTTTTAGGTCAGTAATGTTTGCATCATATTTTCTACAATATCAAAAGTAATGTAATTACTGAACCTTAAACAGCTGAGTGTCCGAGGGTGGGAAAAACAGTTGAAATAAGAATTTGAAGACTTTACAATGAGCAATAAGAACTACAGCATCCAATGATGAATCATTTTGAAAGAAGCCCTGCATGAGATGGTAATTTGAATCTAAGTGGTTCAGGTAATGCTCTCAAAATTATTTTGTGAACAGCAAACAGGCTGCTCAGAGACACCTCCTGATAGTACAGAGAGGAGAAATGCCACTTGCTCCAGCTTTTCATGTGTGATATTTGACCAAAGGACTCGTTGTTTGAGAGGATTATTGTTTTCCTCTAACATCAAAGGTTAGGAATCGTCTTCCAAGCACTCTTTAATTTAGCTAAACCTTGTATTTAAACTATTCATATTCTTAGCTAGACACTTTTTTGTGGCAATGATTGCAAAATTATACTTTTTATTTGTACTAAATATACCTTAATCAAATTTAAATGAATGCTTCTTTGTTCTAGGACATAAAAATTTGATGGATGGGATATATTTTCTCTGTTCTCTCCTTTTTAAATTTTATTAAAGACAGAAGTTAAACAGTACCAAGAAGTTCATAATGAAAACCAACAGTTTCTTTCCTTATTACCCCCTGCCTCTGATCCCTGGTTTCTGAAGTCACTGTTGTAGTCATTTGTTCTAGTTTTCCTAGTGGCTCCTGTTGTCATTGCAAAGGATATCCTTATATCAATATTTCT